TTTTGGCCCCGCGCCCCGGTTTTGGCTGTTGTTTTTTTTTTTTTTTTTTTTTTTTCCACACACACTTTTCAGTGTTTTTAGACCCAAAAAGCCCAAGCAGAAGGCGCCTCTCCTCCTCCTCCGCACCGCTGAGGAAGGCCCTGAAGGCCCATGGGGCTTTGCCGGGCCCATCGCACGCTCCCTGGCACATGCAAGTCCCCCAGGCCATGTCATCCCCTGTCCCCACCGATGTGGCTGCAGGAGGAGTCCTGGGATTCATCCACGCAGTGGACTATGGTTTAGGGCCCCTCCGGATACGCGGATTTCAGAGTCACATCATTGTATTCCCCAAACACATCCCTCGCAGAGCATTCGGAGGAGCGCTCAGGCCATGAAGCTGCAAGGAAGGGCCAAACCGGGAATGTTTGCTGGATGAAGCACTTAGGGACATGGTTTAGCAGGCACGGTGGTGACGGGTTTGCAGTTGGACTTGATGATCTTGAGGGTCTTTTCCAGCCTGGGAGATGGGCGCCCATGTGGGCTCCATGGTGGCGTGTTGGTGCCCATGAAGTGGAACGGCCACAGGATGGTGCCAGAACCTTGACACAGGAGCGAGCCTGGGGAAAGGGCTGCGGATTGCTGAGACCGCATCCAACGTCTGCACTGGGGTCGGACAACTGGAGGTTGGGCTGAGATAGGAGAAGGTAGAGATGAAGGGGAAAGTCTCATCTTCCTGCTAGTGCACCCTGTGTTGAAACTGTGCTTCTTGGGCATGTGGGCAACACGAGTCACCGTGTCCAGCCTGGGAACTGTTCGTGTGCTGTCACAGGGACAGCTCAACGCCTGTCCTGAGAAGCTGGTTTGACCTCAGGGCTCACTTGCCAAGTGAAGCCCCCAGGTAAGGCTAATTCCCAACACAACCGGCCTTTTTTCAGACAGAGAGGCAGCCGCAGATCCCAGGGCAATGTCACATGCTGAGCCTCTTCCTGCTCATCTTGCCCCTGAAATGCCCCTTGGGACACGTCCGTGGGGCATGTGAGCAGCCCTGGCGTGGGACTGCTCCTTCTCTGGGCAGATACGAGCTCCCTGAGCTCTGATTCTGTAGCTTGAACACATGAGCTCATGGTCTGTCTGTTTCTGAAAGCTTCATATTCCTTGACACATTCCTTGTGTCCTTGAGGGCCAGATGGCCAAGGAGCTGGTGGCGGAGCTCCCGCAGGCTTGGACGGCAACTGAGTGTTAGCATCAGGTCAACCAAACTGTTGGGCCGGGGAGCGATCCCTGTGGGAGGTAAATGATGCAGGGCAAGGGATGCCCCTCTGCTAATTTTGCCAGCCCAAATGAGGGCTCTGACCCCAGCAGATGGTCCCGGCAGGAGATTCAGAGGTTGGCAGCATCTTGGGAGAAACCAGGAGCTCTTTGCACGTCGGGGCTGCCCAAAAGATCCCCCGAAAGCAGCTGCTGCTTGAGCTCCCCATGTGGCTGGGGAGACTTTGGTGGCCCTCAGGAGCGAGGTGACACCTGGAAGCGTCACCAAACCCCCGTGGCATCGCAAGCCCTGGACCCACGTTCCTCCAGCAAGGGGTGGGACTACTTGTGGGCCTCCAGCAGAGGCAGCTTGTACCCCACCATTGGGTGTCCCCAGGGGGGCCGTGCGCGTCCTTCCACCCGTCCCCGCTCCTCACACGCGCGGCGCCGCCGGCCGGACCTTTCCCCTGCGGCCCTCTCCTTATTTGTCTCGGAAGGGTATTTTTCGGGTGGTTCAAGATGGCCTCAAGCGGTTGCCAGGGCGACGGTGCTCAAGTCATCACTGCCATGGAAACCCTCGCTTTGGCATCGCCTAAATATTTTCCTTGAGGAAGGAGGCTGGATGAGTGGGCGATGTGCTATTTTCTAGCCCTCGCTGGCTGCAATGGGACAATCTCCAGGAGATCGCGGGGCGGGGAGGGATTGGGGGGGGATGCGGAGGATAAAATTAGCCCGGCACGAAACCTGCAGCTTGTTTTGGTCGGAGGGGGGAGGATCCAGCTGAAAAAGACTTACCCTGACAGAGGAAAAACAAAAGAAATACATATATATATAAAGGGTCAAAAATGATTGTTTTTCTCGCCTTTCTCCAAAGGATTCCTTTGATCCCAACGCCCAAGAAGACCCGCGATGGCGAAAGAGGCACCGGGGGCCACTTTTTGGGGGAGCGAGGGCCGCCTCCGCCGCGCGCGGCTTCTCCCTGCTGCCAGCTCGTGTCAGGCGCCGGGCGGAGCGGGAAGGGGGGGAATTTCCAAGGCGCTGCCCGCGGGAGTCCCCCGGCACGGCCAGGGCGGCGCGAGAAGCGGAGCCCGACGCCTTCGTCAGCGGGGGCCGAGCGGCCATCCCAGCTAAAACCCCCGAGGATCGGCGGCTAAATATAGCTCGAGCCCCATAAATTAAACAAGAAGCTTTTTGCCGATTCCAGCAGCGCTTTTCTCTATGTAAGGTATAACTGCGGCACTATTTGTTATTATAACCCCCTCGCCGCTGCCGGTGCCAGCCTCCCCAGCGCTGCTGTTTAGGAACGTGAATTTATCAGATCCAGGCTTCTCCCTCCAGGCAATGCCTGCTTTCTGGGGAGGAATTCACACCTCAGGGCTGCTTTTCTGCCATTACTATTATTATTATTATTATTATTATTACTACTAAGGTTTTACAACCACTTCTGTCCCCAGAGCTAATGCCAGCGCTGAAATTTTCTGCTTTCTTCTGGACACCTTCTGGCTGTTCGATGCTTCCCACTCCACCATTTTTTACAGTCACCCTTTTCAGGCCCATATCAGGCACTTGGCTATCTCCTGCCATAAAACCTGTGATCTCTTCAATAATATCTGTGCGAAAAAATAATGCAAAGGTGCAAAAAACCATGTGTCATGTCCCGTTTCTCGTTGCACTCAATGACACCATTGCAGGTTTGGGCATTTTGTTTTCCATCTGCTGGGAATCTCCTCCGCCTGTGTCCTCTGGCCTCGGGCAAGAGT